CTCTGCCTGATCTCTGGGCAGCCTTGAACCCCAGATAAGCAAGGCCAGACCAGACATGGGGCACAGGTGGGAAATACCAAAAGTCCCCAGAGAATTCTTTGCCCCCAGCAGTCTGGTCTACACAGCCACATCCTGTTCCACAGGGATCCTGGACACCCCCAACCCTAAGGGAAGAACCCAACCTGCACCAAACACCTCTGAAGACTGGAACACTGGAGGTTCCAGCAGCCTCACCTGAGACAGAGGTTCCCAGATGTGACACCACCTCCTGCCTGTGCTGCACTTTGTGCTGACCAAACTTCTGAGCAGAGTAAACAAAGGGCTTGCCCCCAGACTGGGAAATAAACCTGATCCCCCGTGTGGTGCTGAGGAGGAGATCAGATCCTTTCCTGCTTCACCTTCCCACCGGTGGGTGATTTTCAGGGATGTGCATCCCACTTCCTTCATTTCAGCTTCCCTTGTGTTTTGGTTTGGAAGACAGGTGTCTGCTAGGGAGGGCAGGAGCCTCTCTTGGAATGAAAAATGTAAACCCCTCCCTCTGAATTATTGTAATTTTGAAATCAAGGGGCTCTCAGGCAGAGATCTGGGGATAGCAATAACAGTTCTTTACTAGTGTGTATAACGAGGCACACAAACAACAACAACTACAGCATTAACACCAAAACAGAACCAGGGAGCCCGTGACAGCTTTCTCAGTGAGAAGGGAAGGGATGGAGGAGAGGCTTTGCTTCACAAACCCCTGGGGCAGTGCCGGTGCTGCTGCAGGGCTCTGAGGAACACTCAGCTGGAACAGCAGGGATGAGCTGAGATCCCGGCCCGGTGGCTGAGGTGGATCAGCAGCTCCATGGCACTGCCACGTCCCGGCAGGACAGGGGGTGTGAGGCCCACAGACCAGGAAGGAGAAGCAGCAGCTCTGTCTGGGTGATGGTGAATTCCCTTCTCCAAACCACGACAGCCCCCAGCAGTGTCCTGCTCTGAAGCTGAGGAAAGCAGCCCAGCCCCAGCTGCCCCTGCCCTCTCTTTCTCCTGCCCCTCTTCCCCTCTGGGCCGAACTCTTTGTGTTTCTCAAGCACCCACCAAGTTCCAGCAGTCAGATTTCTCTCACCACGAGGTGAGACAGAACAAAAGGAAGGACACTTAACCCCCAACACCCTGAAAAGGCACCTGTGTTGCAGCTGCAGAACATTTGTGCTTTTATGGATGATGAATATGTTCATGCTACGAGAATTTTGTGAGAAACAGAGACTTTTAACACAAACAACTTGTAATTCCAGAAAGATGGAAACAAAGTCAAAGCTTCTATTTTATCAACTCTTATTTTATTCATTTATAAATACTGTTGTGTTTACAAGCATCATAGCTGTGAATATTATTCCCAAACTTTCAAACACATAATACTTATAATACTATATAACAACAACCAGTAAAACAAATCATTCATCTCAGGGTTTGAAAGGCCACTCAAAGGTTGCATAAAAATACATTCTCTCCCCATCTCGTCAGCCAGTCCTGCTTCTCCAAGGAGTTTATTTACAAAGAGCCATCACCAAACTTGGAGCCACAACAGGTGGGTTCACCCCAAGCAATAAAAATTAACTCACCCCAAGCAATTGCTCAGAAAAAAAATCTCATGTTCCCCAAGGGAGACCACGTCTGGCAAATGCTGATTCCAAGAGGGATCAATTTTAAAACCTATTTGCTCTGCACCCTGTCCCAAGCACAGGGTTCGAGGTGTCCTGTGTGTCACCTCCTCAGTGCACTGGTTATGTCAGGCATGAAGTGAGACAAAAAAAAATCCATTCTCAAGAATTTGGTTTGCAGTTGCGACGTCACGAGGAGACGCTGACAGCTTTGGCTGGTCAGGGACACTGAGCTGTGGGGCCCAGGGCTCGGGAGAATCCAGTGCTAAGCAGACACTTCAGCTAAAGTGGTTTGGCTTTGCAAGGTGCCACTCAGAAGAAGGAGCCTCCCACAGCCTTCCCACTCTGTTCCTTGGGAAAAAGCACAGTGAGTGTCCTGGTAGGAAGGGGCAAAACATCAGTGCGGGATGGATTTGTCAGATTGGGCTGAACCCTCTCCCTAAAACAGACACCAGGCTTCCTGCTGCCAGGAACCTCCTGTGAGAAGAACAGGATCTTTACTCCAAACTCTCCTCCTCATCCTGCCCAGCTGGGGAGCGTCTCCTCCTCCACGTGGCACAGAAGGGACCGGGCTCCTGATCCCCGATCTCCTGACCAGAGCCAGAGGCTGAGGCTGAAGGGAGGAGTGGGTCACCAAGAGAGAAAACATCAAGAACAGCAAAAGTACTCACATGAAGAGTGCACCAAGAGGGAACAGCGTGCAGGGGAAGCATTGACTGGATCTCAAGACTTAAAGCTGTTAAATAGAGCAAGGTTAAAATCAAGGAATATAAAAAGGATGCCTGGCTTAGGCAGTGCTCTGCAGAAACCCTGATGCCTTCACCAGCTTTGGTCTCTTCCTCCCAAAGCTCAGCAGCAGAGGAAGGGCCTCAGAAATGGTGCCTCAGCTGCACAAATGGCTCCACCAGCTGAAGAGCAACTTGTGGTCAGAGCTGCCTGGGGAAAACTGGAAGCTCCAGGAAGAGCAAGAGAGGTGGAAACAGGCAGGACAGGGAGGGGAAGGGGGGAAAATGGAGAATTAGAGGGAAAAAAAAAAAACAAACAAGGAGAGCAAACCCCAGGGAGAAGAAAACAGAGATGCTTTCTGAGGCAATAAGCAGCAGAAGGTTTGAAAAAGCCCAGGATTGCCTGATAAAGTTTTACCCTGTTGAGCAAGCTCAAGTATTCTGCTCATGTTCAAGTATCTCATCTCTCTGGCAGTGGAGAGTCCCCCCAGCCAGAGCCAGCAGAGCTGCTCAGGAACGTGGTAGAGCTGCTCCACGGCCACCTCCAGGTTCAGTGACCAAGAACTGCTGCCCTTGGCCAGAGTCTGGGGAGCTGAAGGACAAAGGGGATTAAAGGACAGATATGGAAGGATTTAAATGGGAAAATGTTTTGGATAGAGCAGGATGTCTATGGGAGGGAAGATATTGTTTGAGAGGAGTCTGTTAATGGGAAGCTCAACAGACCTGATGATGTCCCACAGCACGGAGAGAGAAGCCAATGTAAAAATGCCCATGGGAGAGAACAATTCCAAACTGTTCAGAGTGCATGTAACGTTAAAGAGGAGCATTTCTGGAGGTTTCCTTCAAGACCAAAACTTACCACAAGTTTTTAACAGGTCAGAAGACTTTCATCATGGTGATTCAGTTACCAGCAGCTCCTTGTCCCTCTGACACACCCTGACCTTTCCAAGGCGTGGGGGACAGGATGCTGCCATTCTCCCTCTACAAATCCTGCTTCAAATCAAACAGGGAGACCCAAAGTACCAGACCAGGCTCTGCTATGGGGCTTTGCCTGCAGGGAGGCAGCAGGAGAATGTCCCAGATGGCTGTTGGGAAGGGGAGGCTGGCTTCTGGCATGGGCACAGTTCCCTGGAAGGTGATTTATGCTCACACACAGGTGGGAGCAGCAGAAGACCTGTAGGGGTTCAAATCTGTCCTTCAGAAAGCTCAGCAAGTGCCTGGGATGTATCCTGTCCCAAGGAACAAGAGTCCAGTTGGCAGCTGGATGCTCCCAACCACAGAGACAGGAGCCCTGGAAGGACACAACATGACACAGGATCAGCCAGGGGTAAAGGGAGGGTGAGGGATGAGGGTCTGACACCGAGTGTCAGCGCTGATGTTACTGAACAAGTTCAAAATCTTAAATAGAAGACTCAGTCTAGTGGGGCAAGAGGAGAAGGTCTCTGCAAAAGAGCTCATCAGCCTGTGACAAACATGAGCTCTGGTGGCTTTAAAAGCATCACATTGAACCACAGTCCCACGTCTCAGTGGGCTGATGTACATCCCCAGAGTCCCAGCCCATGTTCACATTTCCCACCTGGAAAGGGCCTGGATATGCTGGGCTAGTTCTTCAGATGTCACTTTTTACAGTAAGAGCTTCCCACTCCAGGTCAAAGTCCAAATCCAAATACTGAGCTTCTGGAAAAAGTTTTGGCAGCTCAAACCCAGTCCTCACATTTCTCCCTTGAATAAAATGTCCGAGATACCACAACATGCATAAATTAAAAAAAAAAAAAAAATGGCAGGGGGTGTTTTGGGGGGGAATTGGGGTGAAAAGGGAATGTACAGCAATGGGCAGGGCAAGGCAGGTGTGACATTGATCCCACGGCTGAAACGCTTGCTGTACGTGACGGGAAGGAAAGGGTAGGGCTCGGTGGTGGGGTTGGCAGCTGGTGTAGGACACCCCTCCTTGTCCTGCCTTTGCTCAGGATTCCTATTTGGAGAGTTTGCTGATGACACGAATAAGGGCTCCGTTCTCATCCTTCAGCCTTTGGTTGTCCGACTTCAGCTCTGTCAAAATCTGCAGAGAGACAAAGACAAGGCAGGATCAGAGGGGCTCGGGGGGGCAGAGGGGACATTGCACCCCCTCCACCCAGCACAGTTCCAGGGCTCTGCAGCACCTCCAGAGCTTTGAGAAGCTGGCTGCCAGGCAAGAGGGGTGAGAGGGGCCTCGAGCACAGCGCTGAGCCAGGGAGCCCCGAGGCAGGGAGCCCCTGGTGCGAAGCAAGGCCACGGCCCCAGCAGCAGCTCAGCACCAGGCTGGCAGGGCAGGAACCATTTCTGGGTTGTTTCACCCCAAACCTGTGCCCAGAGGCTGAATACAGCCCACCAGACAACAGTAAAGCTGCTTTTTCTGATATGCTTTTTCCATTTTGCCAGAAGGGAAACCAAAGGTCTGGAATCTTCATTTGGGACTGGACCTTGCCAGATTATCTTTAGAATACCCCCAAATCTCCTTGGGACCCCACAGATGTGTAACACAGTCACAGGTGCCAAGGCCAGAGGACTGGCAGAACACAATGACACTGGGGATACCTCCTGGGTGCTCAAGTGAGGTTGCAGCACAGACAAAAGCCTTTGGAAACAGAAGAAAGAGCTTCCACAGGACCCTTCCAGCATTTCCCACTGGCATAAACCCTGCTGACTTCCTGTGCTGCAGGGAGTGGCCTCCCGTGGGCTGTTCCAGCTGCTGGGCACCAGAAGGAGACCCCCTGCTCCTGTCTGGGGTGTGACACACAAGGGGTCACTCCCACCACGGGTGCCAGCAGATCACAGGGTGATCACAGCCCTGCAGGGGCACCCAGAGTGGGATCACACACATGGTACCTGTGTGAGCTCCATTTCTGCCTGCCAAGGAGCATTTTGGAGGAATTCCCTCAAGTTAAAATTCTGCACTGAATCTCCTCCTAAGCTGGTATTTCAGGTCTGAGCACAGTGTTCTGCCACCCTCCACCTGCAGTCCCTCCGTGGTCACCAGCTCTGAGTGTGGGCAGCTCCTGGAGCAGAACCAGCTCCCACCAGATCAATTCCCTGCCATGGCTGGGCCCCAACACACCCAACTCCATCCCTGGTGGTGGATGTTTCAGGTGGGAGGTTTCTTAGAGGGGGAGGAGGGATGCTGTGGAAAGGGTAAATCCTTGTGCTGGGCTGGCCAGAGCTCTGGCCAGTGATGCTGAGTGTGCCTCCCTGGACCCAGTGCTGGTGTATCACCATGGCTGGGCTGTCACCAGAACAGCACAATGGCCCCTTGTGCCATTCCTCATGGCCAAAGAAGAGGAATCACCATCACCAAAGTGATCAGGAGCCCACAGACACAGCAGAGCCCTCTGCACTCCTCTGTTTCCTCCTGAGCTTCGCCTGCTGGTGCCTCCCAGCTCATCCCAGGCAGTCCTGTCAGGCCCCTGTCTCTGCCTGGGGCAGCTCTGCAGTGCCCATTGCTGGGATAAAGGACATGTGAGGTTCTGACACTTGTTTTGGTAGTGAGAATGTGTCACAGGTTCCCAGGAACTACAGCAGAGAGAACACCCCAGTGCCAGGGCTCAGCTGGAGCCTGGCCGGGCTCTGCCTCACAGGGGGATTTGTATGACCTGTGTCACTTATCTGAAACTGAAGGAGTGTGAGAACATGTGGAATAAGTGCCTCTGGACACGTTTCCTGCTCATAACCTCACTCCACCAGTGCCCAGTGAGGCTTCCTGAAAGCTACACATCAGCCTCACACAACACAAGGCGAGGGTGTTCCTCCCTTCCAGGGAAATTACCCTCAGGTCAGGTGAAATGAAGCCCAGGGGAACAGGCTGGAAGGGCTGGAAGTTTCCAGCACGTTTACAGATGTCTCACAGGAATGGTGATGTGGCCCAGCCCCAGGGAATGGCAGGGCTGTGTTACCTGGGACACTTGGGCTCCTCAGAAATAATGTGGGTTCAGGAAAATGAGATTCACTGCAAAGAGCACGGTACATCTGGCAGAGCTTAAACCAGTACATCACTGGTAAACCAGTACATCACTGGTAAACCAGTACATCACTGGTTAACCAGTACATCACTGGTAAGCCAGTACATCACTGGTTAACCAGTACATCACTGGTTAACCAGTACATCACTGGTAAGCCAGTACATCACTGGACAGCTGTGATGGCCACAGACACCACTGAGGCAGAGTTTACACATACCAGCACCATCCTGTGTCAGGCCTACTAAAAGAGCTGAAATCAGCCAGCAGAGCTCGCAGCCCATGGCTCTCCCCCTGCTCAGGCTCTGGCAGGGAGCTGTAAGTGAGGAGGGGAGGATGAACCTCAGCCAGGGCAGAGGGAGGATGGAGGGGCACAGATAACATGGGCACGTCCTGGGAGCAGCAGAGGTGACTTGCACTTTGTGAAACATCAGCTGAGTCTGGAAATAATTTTGCCCAATTTTCCCTCTCAGATCTCAAGGTGTGTGGGGAAGGAGAAGGAATCAAACTCACGGTGTATGAGAAGAAATGAGGCAGGGTCAGGTTGGAGGACAGGTTTAATCCACAGATTAAAACCAGAAAGGCTGGGAGATCCTTTCACTGACCATCTGCCTAACCCAGGGCACACAACATGACACCCAACTCACCCAGCCCTTGTGTGGGCTTGAGCTGAGACTCCTGGAAAGGGGAAGCCACAATTCCCCTGATTAGTTTGTTTCTATGGTTAATCAGCCTTGATATAATTTGTGTGCTAAGAATAGATTTTTTTTATTCTGTGGTGCCACTTCCAGCCCACAAGAGCACATGACTTCTTGTGTCTGAAGGGATATGAATATCCCTCTTAACCTGCAAAGGACAGGTAGGGCCCCAAGAAAGGAACATTTACAGCTTTATTTTAGCACTGAACCAATGAAGTAGCAGGAAGAGACATAATTTAACTGTGTGATGTGTGAGGGCAAAGCTTAAGGAAGATGCATCCTTGGGTTACAAACATTAATTGTCCTGCACTGGATTTAAAACAGAGGATGAAATCAGAGCACTCCTGGTCTGGCTCCTGCTGCATCCCCCAGCTTGTGCCAGCCCACAGCAGGCAGGGTGGGGTGCTGAGCCTGTGGACTCAAAAATTTCAGTTTAAAATAAGGAAATGAGCTTGTCCTTTTTGTTCAAGTGACCAAGAAAACCTTCTGAGGACAGCTCAGTTTGTAGTTTTTCTAAAAATCCTCTTTCTGTCTAAAATGTTCACTTTTCACAACTTCCTTGAAAATTTCCTGACTTTGGATAATCTGATTTTCTGAGTGCCAGCTTCTCCCTGAACTAAGTCCAATTAAAAAGAATTCTATTACATGTAGCATAAACCACCTATTTTCAAATGTTGAAGGCCAGGTTGGAGAGGGCTTGGAGCAACCTGCGACAGAGGGAGGTGTCTCTGCCCATGGCAGGGGGTGGAATCAGATGAACTTTAAAGCCCCTTCCAACACGAACCATTCTGTGGGTCTGTCTGAAGGCAAAGTACCAGGCAAGGAGCTGCTGGCACTGCCAAGCCACCCCAAAGCCATTCCCCAGTGCTAAGCTAGCAAGGGCAGCAGCATCTGCCAAGCAGAGCAAGAGGCAGCGGGGTGAGCAGAGCCCTGCCGTGGCAGCAGCACCAAGCTCGCAGAGTTTGGACATCCTTTGGCACAAGCTTTTGAGCCACGAGCTTCACCAGACACCCTGGAGTGCAGGGAGAGAGCGAGAAGTGCCTGGCCAGGGAGAGGAGACCTGCCTGGAAGAGTGGAAGAGGGAGGCAAGATGAGCCGGAGGGAAAGCAGCTACAGCTCCTCTGATTCCGAGGGCTTGGCAGGCAGAGAAAGTCTGGCTACCACCCGGGTCAGAGCCCTGTTCTCAGCCAGCAGCTGCTCGTTCATCTGCCTCAGAGTGTGAATCTGTTTGAGCTGGTGGAGATTCTGCAGAGAGCGAGAGGAGTGGACAGAGAAATAGAAAACATCACGGAAACGAATGGGCACAGAAATGGGAGTTTAGTCCATTGGCAGTGAAAGAAAAAAAGAGAATAAAAGAAATTAGTAGCAGTGAGTTCTGGATGGGGAAAGCCTGACAACACAACAAGGGTATTTTGGGAATCAGCTCTTTCTCCAGGACCCGCCAGTCTTAAAAAGGTCAAATATAGGGATTTCCCACCTCAAAGCAGGATTATATTCTAGTTTACCCAGACAGCCCTGGGACTTGGGAACTGCTGGGAGACCTATCACCAGTGACTTAACACCTACACAGGCTCTGAAAGCACTGCTGGGAACTGAGAATTTCTTTAAAACTCCTTTTCTTTGTGTGTCTCTAAAAGCCAAAGCAGCTGTGTGGAGCGAAGAGCAATCAGAGCTTCCTGGAAGATCCCAAAGGCACAAACTGAAGCACCTGAAAGTGTCACTGTCCCACAGCAGATCACTGAGACAGGTACTTGTGTCCCTCATCTTTGAGTGATGCTCTTGGGGCTCAGTCCTGCCAAAACCTCTGGGCTTTGGGGGTGTTCCTCATCCCCGCCCAGATTCAACTCTTCTCTGTTACGGGGCTCAATTTATCACTTTCAGAGGGAACAAGTCTGAACCTTAAACTGGGAGATGCTCTCAATCAGACTCCTCTTCCTGAAATGAGCAGAGTGGGGATGTGCCTGGAGGGCAATCCTGGTGACAAAGGCAATGAGGGGCACAGGACAGGGCAGGGATCAGGCCCCACACTGGGACTTGCACAGGAACAAACTGGACATGGGTACAAAGTGAGTGTGGGCACAAACTGGGGCTTGCACAGGTACACAGCAATGGGGGTAGGGAACAGAAGAGCTATGAGGAAGCAGAACAGGGAAATGGTACAAGCCATGCAGACAAGTGAATTAATGTGCTGGACATTTTCACCACTGCAGGTGTCAGGAGATGCCAGGAGCTGTGGAGCTGCTTCCTGAGTGGCCTCTCTGCCCTCCTTCCTCCCGAGAGCTCGGGCAGCCGGGCCACAGGAGTGAGAACCCCTCCTCAGCAAGAAGCCATCCTGCATGATGGAGGGAGCCCCAACTCTGGGCAGGGGCAGGCAGAAAACATCCACAAGGAGAGTTGTAAGTTCAAGTGACACAATCCCTGTCCCAAACCTCAGCAGTCCCACAAAGCACCGTATTTCTCCCATGTCCTCTTGTGAGCCTGCAGTGGCAGAAGAAGACAAAGGGAAGGGTCTATGGGGAAGGGAGTTGCTTTCTACCCTTTCATTAGCAGAAAGCACTCAAAGGGAGGTGCTGTCTGTCCTGAACAAGGAGCACCATGAAAGAATGTACTGTGACACAATGATTGTCTACCCAACCTGCACTACTCAGGCTGCCCAGAGCAGCTGTGGCTGCCCCATCCCTGGGAGTGTCCAAGACCAGGTTGGACAGGGCTTGCAGCAACCTGGGATAGTGGAAAGTGCCCATGGACTGGAATGAGAAGGGCACCTTCCAACCCAAACCAGTCTGGGATTCTGCGATGACCCAGAGCTGGCTGCAGCTGGCAAGGAATCTGCTGTGTGCACATTTTGTTCTAGGGCTCATTCCTGTACAAAACTGGAGAACTTTGTATACCCCCCAACCATCAGCTCCAATCTCAGCTCCCAAAAGCACTACATTTACTCTCCATGATGGAATGACCTGTTTGAAAAGCTTTGCAAAACCAAGGGAAGCAAGACAGGAGGGCAGGGAGGCAGCAAAGGATGGGGTTTGAGCCCCTGAGATCATCGAACTGACAGAGCAGCTCCTTGGACACACAAATGCAGTTCTGACACTGGATAAATCAATGGATCCCAAGACAGAGTTACAGCCAACAAACTCCAGGAAAGTTGCTGAGTGACACCTCAGCAGCAAGATCCCTGCTCACCATATCCCATCCATCATCCATCCATCCATCCATCATCCATCCATCCATCCATCCATCCATCCATC